GCCGGTAAACGCGCCCTCTCGCGGTGGACTGACCCAGTTGCATTCTTTGTTGTTGCTCTGGGGGCGGGGAAGAGAAGGGAGAAAGATGTGGGTGGAGTCTGGGAGGCAGAAACGAGAATAAGGTCTCAATGATGAGGATGCCTTTCCTTTGTCCCTTACAAAGACGTATAATATGCGTTTCGGATGCAGATAAAGAAATATGCTCCTTAGAAATCAAAAGGGAGACTAGAATAGAATGAGATTGTTGGGGAGATGATGCTTCCATTCATACATGCAAGCATTCATTCGTTCATTCATTCATTCAACAAACATTCTTTGGGTTGGACAGATGGCATAGGAAGCTGGGGAAATGGTCGCTGATGTAGGGGTGGGGTGAGGAAGGAGACCCTGTTAGCAAAGAGCAGGACTCGGTGGCAGGGGGGGAGGGGAGCAAGGGGAAGTTCCAACTGAGCTTACCCGGATGAAGCTAAAAGAGGCAGAGACCTGACCCATGCCGGATCACGTGCTCTGTCTGATGAGGATTAAATAAACAAATTAAAGGTGGAACACCCTGAACACCAGGAGGGATGCTGTTTGTGATGAATTGAAGCAATCTAATATGTTTAAACGTAATGATTATGCTACTACCGAAAACAAAGATGCTAATTGGCCCCAGTTTGGAGGATGCTGGGGAATCAACCCATTATTTTGAAACCACCCTTTCCTATTATGGACTGTACCACCTGGGCAATTTCTCTATCTTGCAATATTCCAACTGATGAAAGACAGTGGCGGAATTTGAGTATTACCATTTTGCAAGACAGAACAACAAAAGCTGTAATGCTGATGGTACATACCCAGCCTCTCGATGAAGAGTCTGTCCCTGTCTGTAAAGTGAGCTTGTAGAAGAAAGAACGCCAATATGACCCGGTCTCCAGACCCAACTATGCAGAAGATAACAGTGTCCAGAGAATTCCATTTATAAATGGTGCGAAGATGGGAGGGACATGGTAGAATACCAGGGAGATGCTCTCAGCAAATCAAGGGTGTGAGCATTGCAAAACTGATTTGACTTCTTCAGAGGAGAGAGGGCACGAGAAAGAAGGGATGGAGGAAGGGGGGAGGGGAGCACAGAGGAATGCAAAGAAAGAAAAGAGGAAGAGATGACGGAAAGCCTATAAAAATGCAGAAATATTTACGTCTACCAACCAGTTAAAGTGTATCTACCTATTTGGATCCTAATACAAACAAATACTTTGGTTAAAAAAAAAAAAGAACTAAAATAGGTATGGGTGTTGTGATGCACGGCCTGGAATCCCATTTGGAGACTGAGGCAGGAGGGTCATGACTTCTAGACCAACTAGGACTACATAGTGAGACTGTGTCTAAAAGACAAGCAAAACAAAACCTGATGAGGCAAGTACCAAGGCATGAAGCCATAGTCCCAGGTATTCGGGAAACTGAGATGGGGCATCCCTTAAGCCCCTGAGTTTAAGGTCAGTGTCTTATAGAATAAATAAAGATGAAATTTATGAGACAATGGAAATTCACACTCTGGACATTTGATAACTGGTGATCCTTTGTGATTGTGTTTAGAGAGAAAGTGTCATTATCTTTAAAAGATATGTACTGAGATATTGACAGATAAAATTAAATGGGAGAGGAGACCTGGGAGACATAGACAGGAAGAAACTGGCCAGGAGGTGGTAGCTGTTGGAGCTGGATAATAGACATATAAGGGCCCATTTTATTATTTTGTGCATGTTCAAAACTATTTTTTTCCAGGCTGGAGAGATGGCTCGGTGGTTTGGAATACTGGTTACTCATTAAGCAGCCTAGTTCGGTTCCCAGCACCCATACGGCATCTCGCAATTGTCTGTAACTCCAAGATCTGACACCCTCACACAGATGTACATGCAGGCAAAGCACCACTGTACATAAGATAAAAATAAATTATTAAAATTTTTTCATTTAGTGTATATATAGGTGTGAGTGTGTGCCACACTTAGCAGGACCCCCTGGAACTGGAGTTACAGGTGACTGTGGGCTTCCTACGTGGGTGCTGGGAACTGAATTCAGATCCTCTGGAAGGACAGCAAGTGCTCCCAACATGAGCTCTCTCTCCAGCCCTGCCTTTTTGCTTTGAGACAGGATCTCGCTACGTAGCCCTGTCTGGCCTTGAACTTACAGAGGTCTGTCTGCCTTTGCCTCCTTCGTGCGGGGACTAAAGGAGTGTGCCTCCACGCTCAGCACCGGTTTCCTAAAAATAAAATAAAGATTTCTCGAACAAAGCTTTAGGGCTCTGCAACACCTTTCTGGTCCCTAGATCCCAACAGGCTGAAGGTGTTTTAACTCAGCAGCCGTGACCTGGGAGCGTTGGGGGCCTCTGGTGGATTCCTGGGATAGTCCCTGGCTCTCTTGAATGGGGATGTTCTTGGGGAAGACCAGAGGAGAAATGACCGTAGCTTTTCTGTTGGGGGAGGCTGGGCCTCTGAGGGCCTTGTGTTATTGTGAGTTGGTAGCACTGGGTGCACAGTTAAGGGTGTGAGCGAGTGGCATCAAAAATAGCAAGAAGGCATCTGGGGAGGGTGTCACACGGGAGGCAGGGGCAGGGCAGGGCCATCTGCCGGCTCTGTGCCCCGCCCACACTCAGTACCTTCCTCCAAACCCCTTTCCTCTCTCCTCTATCTCGGTGAAGGCAGGAGATGGCAAGGTGACCTGGGGACACACTCCTGCCCGCGAGCCCGAGCTGGATGCTGACTCTGGAAACTCTGTGACTCTCCAGGGACAAGCGGGGTGGTCAGGCGGGAAGAAAGATGGGACAAGGACAAAACTCGCCCACTGGTCACCTGAACGCGAGCCTGACCCAAGACAGGTCCCAGACATCCTTGCTTGGACGGTCAGGGTGAGGCGAGGCAAGCAACACGGGAGGCTCGGAGCCATGCCTGCAAAGACCGTGGGATGCTGCTCATGGTGGGGGGCTGTTTCTTCCTCAGTGGTACCCACCATCAAGTGCATCAAGGAGGGAGCTGGACCCAGGGCCGCACACTTTCCGAGCATTCACTCAGCCACAGCATGGCTCTGGAGGAAGTTAGAAACCTACAGGCCTCAGTAACGTCTGCTACAGTAACGGGGCTACAGTAACGTCTGCCTCGTGGCATTGCAGTGGGTAAGGGATGGGTTAGTGCCCACAGATGCACGGGAGCCTTTTGACACAGACGCTAACAGGTCAGCTGTTCTTCCTGCCATCACCCCAGCCTCAGTCAGGCAGGATTGTCTCATCGCTGTATGATATAGATGGCTAAACACATGCTGCCATTGGTGTTTTTGTGGATTCTCCACAGTGGTACCCAGAGGCCAGCACTAATCATGCAGTGGACAGTCGTGGACACAGGCCTAGAGAGGGAGGATGACTTGAGACCGTGTGTGCAGGAACTGTCAAGCTGAGCCAGAGCGCCTCCCCTCTGCTTACCTGTCCCCACCCTGCTGGTGCCATCTGGGATCTTTCCATCCAGGCCTTCACATGGGAGATGCTTGACCTGGGGCTCGGCCTGGGGAAACTGTTAAGGAAGTTGTCAGCCAAACCCCTGCATTGACTAGCTGCTAGGCCCCACGTCTGGTGCAGGGATAAAATGGTGCTGAGATGGGGAGACCAGAACATCTGTTCCACACCACGATCCTGTGAGGCTGAGTTGACACAGAGATGTGTGTGTGTGTGTGTGTGTGTGTGTGTATGGGTGTGTGCACCTGTGCATGCACATGCGTAGACTCAGCCATAAGCAGCCAGCTTAGGAAGAGGAGGGACAGGAAAAGGCTTCAGGGAGGAGGGGACACGTCCATGGAGTCTGGTTAAAGTTTGCCCAAGGGACAAGGCAGGAAGGGAATACCAGGCAGTGGGAAGAGCTTGGATGGGTGCCAGGAGATTAAGAAGACATACTAAGCCAGGCAAGAACAGAGGGAGGGCCAGAGCCTGGGGACATATGGGAGTGGGGGTGGGGTTCTAGACAAAATGGACAGATGGAGGAAGGACCAGAAAGTCACCAACTGGGCATGAGCTGGGAGCTCAAGGGCAATGGGAGTCATTGGGATTTTTAAAAGGTGGCCAATCTGGAGAGATGGCTCAATGGTTAAGAGCATTGGGGCTGTTCTTGCAAAGGACCTGGGTTCAGTTCCCAGCACCCACGTGCTGGCATTACTCCAGGTCCAGGGCATCTGGCCCGCTCTTCAGATCTCCATGGCACCAGGCATGCATGTCATTCATAAACACACATGCAGACAATCACTCATACACACTAATTTAAAATAAACCTTAAAAATTCAAGGGAGGGAGGGCCCACAGAGCCACATTGGTGGTTTAGAAAACATGCCGAGGGGCTGAGGAGATGGCTCAGTAATTAAAAGCACAGGCTGCTTTTCCTGAAATCCTGAGTTCAGTTCCCAGCACCCACATGGCAGGCAGCTCACCATCATCTGTAACTCCAGTTCCGGAGTATCAGATGTCCAATTCCCTCTTCTGGCCTCTGGGAGGCACTGCATTCAGGTGGTGTACAGACAAATGTGCAGGAAAAACATACAATCACAGAAAATAATAAAATAAAAGAAACAAGTGCAGAATAATAATCAAATAAATACTATTGTTTTTCTTTTTTTTTTCTTTTTGGTTTTTTGAGACAGGGTTTCTCTGGGTAGCCCTGGCTGTCCTGAAACTCACTTTGTAGACCAGGCTGGCCTCGAACTCACTGAGAGCCACCTGCCTCTGCTTCCTGAGTGCTGAGATTACAGGGGTACGCCACCACCACCCGGCCAAATATATAATATTTAAAAAAGAAACACACACGAAATAAAGCCCATTGTGGTCACTGGGAAACTGCTAGGGGACACTGTGTGTGAGGACAATGTCTACCCCAGATTCATTGCTCACGCTGAGAATGGAAGGAGTTGGCACTCTGGGCAAGGCTGTTCTCAGCTGCTCTGACACACCTCCTCCCCCTCCCTGCCCCTCCCTCTTCTGCTCCAGCCCCTGTCTCTGTCACTCAAAGGGCTGGCTAGGCTGGGCAGCTATGGCAGCAGCACTAACCTGGATTCCTCTCCTTGTAGGCAAGTTGGGGATCTTCTTCGGGGGAGGGAGAGAATGAGGGGTAGAATTTAGAGGTTATGAGGTAGAAGAATAGGGGATCCTCAGAAGAGGGGTTTAGGGTGGGTGAAGTAGGACCTAGAGGGTTTGGGGGCGGGTGGGAATGATTCAGGGGCTGGGAGCTGGTCTCTGGAGAATAGGTAGTGGAAATTTTGAGGACAGAGGTGTCCTAGAGCCCCGAGTGAGCATGAGAGGGCAAGGGAAGAGGGTCGTGGGCCCTTTAATGAGCTGACTGGGCCGTTACTTCTGGCAGACCAGGCTAAATTTGGCATTAAGAGGGAAGGCGGAGGCAGCCTAGGCAAGTCCACTTTGCTGGGCTCCTATTGGCCCACATTGCAGGCCCTGTTCTGTGTTCTTCTCTGGGAGTTGGGGGCCTTAGAATGGCTACCCTTCTGAGGGTGTTTTCTACCCCCAGCCTCCCAGACATTCAGCATGGAGTTCTTTCCCAAGTAACCTAAACACACATAGCTTAACCCTTTCTCAGCCATACATTAGTCCCCTCCCACTGTGGACTTAACCATGGAGTAGAAAGATGCCTGGGGTCCCTTCCATGAATACAAAGCCAGCAAAAGTCTGGGGCTTGTCATCCTTCATCCTCTAACCTATGAAGCAAAGCAGGGCCTGCAGCCCACCACTTGGAGGCAGCCAGGAACCCTCAGCTCTCGGCTCATCGGGAGCACTGTGGGGAAGGGCACTCACCCCATACCCATGACTAAAGTTGTGTGTTTGGGGCTTATGGGGTCCCCCCCCCCACAGGTCTTCTGGCAGGGTTGAGGGACACCAATGCTCAGCAGACAACCTTATACCCATTCGTGGGTCGTGTTTTTGTGCATCCCTTGGAACACGCCACCTTCCTGCGCCTTCCAGAACACATTGGTGAGAGAGGGACCAGATGGGCTGGAGTGTGCCAATCCGGATCTCCTGTTCTGTCTCCGGTTTCCAATCCCCTCCTGTTTCTCCCATCAGCGGTGCCACCTACTGTCCGACTCACCTATCAGGCCCACCTCCAGGGACATCCAGACCTGCCCCGGTGGCTTCGCTACACACAGCGCAGTCCCTATAACCCTGGCTTCCTCTATGGTACTCCTACTCCAGAAGATCGTGGACGCCAGGTCATCGAGGTGCCAGCACAGAGACATCCTGGGTTGGCCACTGGGGCCTCCTAGGGCTGGCCTTGCCAGTGGGACTGGGTGTTTATGCATGTTTATTTACATATAATTTGCATATGCGCCATTTGTGTCAGCTTCCTCTTAGCCCCACTCCTCAGCCCTCCTTCCATTCCCCCAGGTCACAGCCTACAACCGGGACAGCTTTGACACCACTAGACAGCGACTGCTGCTGCTGATCGAGGACCCCGAAGGTACCTCCGTTCCTATTCCGTTTCTCTACTGGTGCCGGTCTTGAAGAGCGTTACTTGGGAAAAGGTGTTGGGAAGCAGTGGGGAGCAAGGCATCCTGGAGAGGGCGCGTCAGGGCCGACGTGGCGTTGATAGCTCGAGAGAAGGAGCTCGGGACTGAGGTCTGTCCTTAGCTCTGTAAGTAACACAGCTGCAGCATACGAGGCAGTCAGCGGCTACAGTGTTGGGGAAGGGAATGCAAGGCCTGTGCTGTATATAGGCTGTTGGGACAGAGGTGGTGTGGGGAATGTGGGAAAGCTTGAAGGAAGTTTAGGAAACACCTGAGAAACTGAGCACAAGGTGGGGTGCAATTGAGTTGCCGACTTGGCCTCCTTAGGTCCACGGTTGCCGTACCAAGCCGAGTTCCTGGTGCGCAGTCATGATGTGGAAGAGGTTCTGCCCTCCACACCTGCCAGCCGCTTCCTCATCGCCTTGGGGGGACTCTGGGAGCCAGGGGAGCTCCAGTTGCTCAACATCACTTCGGCCTTGGACCGTGGAGGTCGCGTCCCTCTTCCCATTGAGGGCCGGAAGGAAGGGTAAGGGAACAATCCAGGAAGGCTTCCTGGTTGACTAGGGAGGGAGGGAGCAAAAAATACCCATCTCCCTGATTTCCGGATTATCACTGCAGCGTACCTTGGTCGTGGTCATCTCTTCTCTTTACGCCAGTGCCCATTCCCTTCACACCATCTCCTTCTTGGGCACAGACTCTCGTTACCCTGAACTCTGAACTTACCAGCACTTGTCCATGAGGACATGTGAGATCCATCTGTTAGAAGTCATTTCTGGGGTACATAAAGAGTGGGGTGCTCTGACTTGGTCTCAGGTCTTGGAGGCTGTGACCTCTCCCACCAGGCCCTGATGTGTCTCCTACGGGACACCCCTATTCCACACCCGTCCTTGCCTACTGTCAGGACACCTTCGCCTCTCCCTGGTAGATGGTGCTCCTCACTTCCACTATGCTGCCAATGGCTTCTTTTCTCAGGGTGTACATCAAGGTGGGCTCTGCCACGCCCTTCTCCACCTGCCTAAAGATGGTGGCATCACCTGACAGCTATGCCCGTTGTGCCCAGGGACAGCCTCCATTACTGTCCTGCTACGACACCTTGGCACCCCACTTCCGTGTTGACTGGTGCAATGTATCTCTGGTGAGGAGGGATCCTGGTTCTAGGGTTTGGGTTTAGAGTATAATCCTCATCAAGTCCTGTGTATCTATGATTTCTCTAGCCCAACTTTTTTTCTCTGATAGGGTCAGTTTGGGTCTCAACCTCAGTCTATGGTCTCTGTCATAGACACACACACACACACACACACACACACACGCACGCACGCACGCACGCACGCACACATGCACTCACTTGCACACATATGAAGTTCTGTTTCTTGCCACAAGAGGGCGACAAAGCTTACAGTCCACATCTGGACTCTTTAGCTCTGTGTCCCAGATCTGCTCAGGGGACAGAGAGCTAAAACTCTCAAGAGTTCCTAAGTCCAAATTCCAGCGAGGGCATCCACATGACAGCTCTGTCTGCTTCCAGAGGAAGTACCACCAAACAAGGCTGCCTGCAATAAGGGGTTCATTGCGGCTCTTGATGTTTCAAGGGACCCTGGCTTGAAATTGTTGGTATGCTCTGCTCCTGGGAACCAGCCCAAGGGGACTTCAGCTGAGAAGTAGCGCTGGTCATTGACAGTCTACTGAAGGTTGTGTGCTGGGCACTAGATCCCCAGCGTGTTTCACCACCGCGATTCAGGGCAGGAGTAAGCACACTATCATCACTCTGAATTCAACGAGGAAATCATATTGAGACAATTCACCTCGGTGAAGCACTAGTCTGACTCAGAGTTCAGACTCAGGCAGTCCAAACCTAGCACCAATATGAACCACTGAACATCCCTGATTCTCCTAGAAGTAGCTTCCCTGACCCCTATTCCAGTGTTCATCCTGTAGTCACATGGGCTAGGGGAGGCAGGCAGAAAGAAGGTCTGTGGTTACATGGGGTTGATAGGTTGGTAGTTGCCACATCTCCTGTGGGACAGTGTCTCTGCGTCTACTGAGCTACTCCTGGGTCAGCTCTGGCCTCCGCTACACAGGTGGACAAGTCAGTGCCGGAGCCCCTGGATGAAGTGCCTACTCCAGGTGACGGGATCCTGGAGCATGACCCGTTCTTCTGTCCACCCACTGAGGCCACAGGCCGAGACTTCCTGGCAGATGCCTTGGTCACCCTCTTGGTGCCCTTGTTGGTGGCTCTACTGCTCACCCTGCTTCTGGCTTACGTCATGTGTTGTCGGCGTGAAGGACGGTGAGTGTGCCGGCCAGGGAGGACAATGGGCTGGTACATCTAAGGGACCACTCTGGGACTGGGGGAGCCATACTTCTCAGGGAATGGGATTCTCAACTATAAGAGGAATGTGGAGCCCCTTTTCTAGGTAGGGGGATCCAGTCCTGTCTGGCTTGGAACTAGGAGGGATCCTGAATATACGCACATGGGAGTCCTACATGGGGGCTCGTGGGACACCATGGAGCAAAGCCAGACTGGTACTGAATCCCCCAACCTCCATTTTTTCATAGGTTGAAGAGAGACATGGCCACCTCTGAGTGAGTATAAGCAGAGCTGGGGGGCTGGTTAGGGGAGCCCCCCTTGGATTGTTGTATTGAACTCTTCACTATGAGCAGCAATGAACCCTGAGTCTTAGCCCTGAACTGGCTGGAGGCTAAGTCCAGGCCCTGCTGACCTTGTCCTCATGTGTTCTGATCATAGAAGAGACTATTGTGGCATAGGGGAAGGGGACCTGCCACTGTACATAGGAAAGGACTTGGGAAGTGACCAAAGGCTCCCAGTGTGTATTCCTCTTCCTCTCTCCTCCTCCTTGGCTCCCTTTCTCCTTCCTGTCCTTTCCTCTCTTCCCTGTTCTCCGTCTCCCTCTCCTCCCCAATCTCCCTCTTCCTCACCATCTCTCGCTCCTCCCCATCTTCCTCCTTCTCCCTCTCTCCCCCTTCTTCCCTCCTCCCCAACTGTGAACCAGACACCTGGCTGGCCTCTGATTCTCCCTGCAAGTTAAGAGGAAGTGGCTGGCCTAGTTAATGGCAAGATTCTTTAAATCTTACCCTATCTTTCCAAGCCCATCTTATTCTGCCTCAGATTCCTCCTATCCATGGCCTTCTCCCCCACTCTGTGCCCCTCAGCCCCTGGCCTAACTTCCCTACCCTCTGAACCCCAAAGACTCCAGAAGACAGTTGTGAAATAAGTTGGGCTTTTATTTCCGCTTTACTGAGCTTGCGGCAAGCCTGGCGCCCCGCCTAACCTGCCTTATTAGTGGCGGCGGCCTTTGGCCACCCGACGAACTCCCTTGAAAAGCCGATTATGGCTCTTTCTGGAGCCTAGTAGTGACTGGCGTGGTCCACACTTGCGCTGCCCAGGCTTCTGCCTCCGCCCCCTCCGCTGGCGTCTTTTGGCCTTGCTCTTGGACTTGAAGGCTTTCTTCTTACCCAGGCGGAAAGAGCCTGAGGTCCCCTTGCCAGTCACCTTCTTGAGCATGCCCTTCTGCACTAGTTTCTGGAGTGCACGCTTGAAGCGCCAGCTGTTGCGGGTCATATTGTAGCCTGTGGTGCTCACAGCTTTCTTCAAGGCCGCAAGGGACACACGGCTGCGCACTCCCTTGTCAGACACAGCCCTCAGAATCACCTTCGACATGCTGGGTTTTCGCGGGGTCTGAGGGCTGGTGTGGGGCTCAGTCTCACTCTTGCTTGGGTCCCCTGATGTGCTGGCATCCTGGTCCACAGCCACCGCAGCATTTGGGTCTGCAGAGGGTGACAACAGCGACGTGTCTCTCTGCATCTCTTCCGGGGGTGGCTGAAGGGCACTGGATGCTAGGACCTCCAGGGTGGCTGCTGGAAGTGTCCACCGGATTACTCTCAGTAGTGGGTGAGCTGTGTTCTGACTTCTGCTTCCCTCAGAGGCGCCTTTGTAGGGGTCTGGGCCCCACCTTCTGGATGGCCAGAGGGAGGACCGTGGGTGATCACCCACGGTTGGCCACAGTAGACTTGTGCTGTGGGCTCAGGGACTGGTGAGATTATTTCTGCGGTGACCTCAGGGGGCCATTGTGAGGTGGGCAGAATCCTGTGGGGGTCATAGTAGCCCCATTGTCTCTTCTTAGGAGGATCAAAGGCATCAGAGAGTGGGGACACCTGATGAGCCAGATACCCTCCAGAGGAGGGCCCTGGCTGGATGAGTTCACACAGGGAATGCCCGTGTATATATGGCATATATGCACATTTCTGAACTGATTCCAGGACACTTAGAATCCTATGTTTGTTTGTTTATTTAGCGGTGCTGCGCATGGAATTCACGGTTTAGCACACACTAGGCAAGTGTCTAACCACTGAATTATATCCCCAACCCAACTCAGTTTTAAATCCACCCTTTAATTAACAGCCTCTACTTTGTGTCTCTAGGTGGGAAAAATGCTAACATTTTATATTTATTGAGACAGGGCCAACTTTGGGGAGGCAGGTTGAGATAGAGTTTCTCTGTGTAGCCCTGGTTGTCCTGGAATTCACTCTATAGACCAACCTGGTTTTAAGCTCACAGTGATCCACCTGCCTCTGCCTTCTGAGTGCTGTGACTAAAGGTGTGTGCACCACCACTGATAGCATAAACAGGGTCAAACTATATAGTCCTTGATGGGTAGGAAGTCACGCTGTATACCTGGCTGGCCTCGAAGTTATGGTGATCCACCTGCCTCTGCTTCTGGAGTGCTGTGTGTGCCACCATGCCGGATACATTTATTTTTTTTTATTGATGTAGAATGCTGGCCTCAATATACAGCTGAAAATAAACTTGAACTTCTGGTTGTACTGCCTTCACCTTCATGGGGGCTAGAAATGACTGTGCTGCCACGCACAGTTTATGTGGTGCTGGGATTAAACACAGGGCTTCGTGTGTGCTAGGCAAACTTTACCAACTGAACTCCTCCAATACATTTTAAATATAAGGATTATAATTATACTTTTAAAAAATATATATATTATACTTTTTAAAAATATGTATACTTTTAAAAAATATAATATATATATATATATTTATTATGTATACAACATTCTGCCTCCATGTATGCCCGCACACTAGAGGAGGGCACCAGATCTCATTACAGATGGTTGTGAGCCACCATGTGGTTGCTGGGAATTGAACTCCGAACCTCTGGAAGAGCAGCCAGTGCTCTTAACCACTGAGCCATCTCTCCAGCCCCTATAATTATACTTTTTAAAGGAGAATATAGTTCTCAGAGTAAAATGCAGTTCCTTGGCTTATGTAAATTAATCTTCTATACGAAACTGTTAAAATGCTTTCTTAGACTGGGCCTGGTGGCCCATGCCTATAATCCCAGTAGAGGTGAAGGCGGGAGGATCTCCGATCTCCTTCCATTGGAGGCCATTCTGGGTTCCATGGAAGCCTGTCTCAAACCAAAAAGAAAAAAACAAAGGGTTTGAGTTTTGTTTTCGTTTCTTGAGACTGGATCTCCCTGGCTCTCCTGGAACTCGCTATGTAGACCAGGCTAGCTTTGAACTCACACTGGGCTCCCCCTGCCTCTGCCTCCTGGTGTTGGGATGAAAGGCGTGTGCCACCACGGCCTGTCTGGGTTTTTCTGCCTTATCTGTTTTCACTTTATAGATCTCTTCTGCTGAGATCAATAATTCTGGCATACATTTCGCAAGAAGGATTTGTATAACTTTTCCGTAGCCTGTGCCAGATTCGGTCAGTTGCGTCGCTGGCATTGTGGCTTCCCTCTGTGACCAGTGTTGTCATCACTGGCCTTCCTGGTTCAGGTGGTAGCGCTGACGTCAGGGAGGCCCGCTTCCCTCTTGACCGTAACCAACACTTTCGCCCTGTGTTCCAGCGGCCTTTGCGGCCTGAGTTTTGTGTTGCCTTAGTTCTACTAGATACTTATGACAATGTCTGCTGCTTTTTAAGTGGGCCACCAGTAGTGACCCTGATGCCTGGCTGTCACCTGCATCAGATCTAACTGGTCACAGCGTTCTCCACAGCCCAGTGACATCGCCCTGTGTGCTGGGGGCCGAATGTCTATTGATGTCATTTGACCACATGTGTCTGTGGGCATGTCTTTGTATGTCGCAGTGTTGCCTGCTCTCCCGTCTGCCTGAGTACTTACATGAAGCCCCTTGGGACGGCCCCACTGGGTTTGCTGTCTGCTCTTTTGCTCTTCTTGGGGAGATTTTCCCACCACCCATTCATTACCGGAGCGATGAGACCCAGATGTGGGGCTGGGGGTGGGAGGGGCCTTTCCTGGCCTGGGTGACACACCTGCCTCCCTGGCCCATCTTCTACACACTTCTTGCTCTCATCCCACCATGGGCTCTCCTCCCCAAGGGATGGAAAGTTGTGTTTCTGACAACTCTGTTTGCCAGATTCCACATTTAGGAGCTTAAATAACTCTGCCTGGCCTTAGACAGCGACCTCACTTCTTTTGCTGGCCACTGGGCCCTCACTCCACTCCAAGGGGAGTGCCTCTGCTTCTCCAGGAGGCCGCCTGTCCTTCCGTGCTCTGATCCTCAGGGTTCTTAACTGCAGCTGCTGTCCACTGACTGGGGCTTGGGCTCCTGGCAGGGACCCTTCCCCTACCTTATTAGTAACCGAATGACAAGGGAAGAGGCATTATTCCGCCTGCCTGGAGTCTCAGTTTCCCTAAGAAAATCCAATTCTATTTTTTTAAAAAACTGTTTTTGAGATGGCTTCATTGTGCAGCCCAAGCTGGCCTCAAACTCACAATCCTCCTGTCTCAGCCTCAGCCCTAGCGGAAAACTTCATTGTCTACCAAACAAAGTCTCTGCTCTGACTTGGTGATCAGGAATGTAGGAAAATGTTGCCAGACTATGCCAACTAATAAGGTGGATTCATGTAAAGGAGGCTTAAGAACAACGCCCCCTAGAGGCCAGGAAGCCTTCTGCTGGGCTGGCTACAGCAAAATAAAGCTTTCTATATTAATACCACAGAGGGGTTTAGCAATTTGCCAAAAGCAGTAAGCAGTAGATGCCCCAGTGAAAGAAACCAAAGCAAGTCCTGATGCTTCGCTTGCATGCCAGCGTGCCAGCCTGCTGCTCAGACTCACTGTGGCTTGCTCCTGGACCACAGAAAGCAAGGACCTAGGATGGTCACATGTGATTAAAGCCAGATCTGAAGCTATAGTTCAGGAAAGGCCTTCTGATGCATATGGCCACTCCCTGCTGTAGGGGCCCTGAGGGTGGAGCTAGGAACAGCTCAAAGGAATTCAGGTCTGAAACAGAGACAAAGAGGCAAGAATGGAGTGGGATGGGGGTTGGGGGGGAGGTCAGGTATAAAGGAACAGAGACCAGGTTCAAGGAGCCCAGATAAATAATGAGATCCAGAACTTGGTGGAAGGTATTCCCAGGAGGCTCAAGAGCTGGGAGCTGGGAGATGAGAGGAGGTTAAAGACTGGGTGGGATGGCCAGGCTAACATAAGGACGGAAGGAAGGGGGAGAGATGTTTGGAGTTGACACTGAGGGAGGCTGCCAAATACCAAAAGGAACCGGGAGGGCCATCGGAATATGAAAACGTCATACATCTGGGGATGCAGCCAGTTGGGAGGGTACTTGTATGTGCAAAACTCTCGGTCTGACCCTCAGTACCACAAAAACTGCGTGTGGCGACACACGGCTGTGATCCTAGCAGCTGGGAGGTGGAAACAGGAAGATCAGAGGTTCAAGGTCACCCTCAATATACCCAGGATACCTAAGTCTTAAAACAAACAAACACTAGGTTTATAAGTCCCGGCCAATACCAGCTTCTGCAAATAATATACTCCATGTGGGTATCTGCTCTGCCTCGGCATCTTGTACGTTACCTATGCTGGCCACTATTCCAAACACCCAGCTGTATTTTTCTTACTTCGCATAACAATCTAGGAGGATACTTATTATTATCTTCGTTTTGCATCTGGAGGAAGTGGAGGCACGAAGGGGGTTAAAGCCAAAAACAATAGAGTTTTCTACCCAGGCTGTCTGCACTCAGACCCTTGTCTCAATCACTGGGCACAAGCAGGCATCATGAATTCCCCATTTCCCCCTGCACTTACATCAAGTGTTTGAGTCTCCCAGCAACTGCAGGGTGCAGAGTGGCTCTGAGGCAGCCCCAGGCTAGACCCTAGAGGCCAGTTCCAAGAGCTGATGATCTTCTGCGTGTGCCTCCAGCATCCAGATGGTTCACCATTGCACCATCCACGGGAATACAGAGGAGCTTCGGCAGATGGCAGCCAGCCGTGAGGTGCCCCGGCCTCTTTCCACCTTGCCCATGTTCAATGTACGCACGGGAGAGCGGTTGCCTCCTCGAGTGGACAGCGCACAGATGCCCCTCATCCTGGACCAGCACTGAGAGCCCTGTCAGGTAGGTCTGGCTGGGCAGTGCCATCCTCTAACCAAGAAATAAGGGAGCCTCTGTCTCAAGGCACGGGCACGTAGTGAGATACGGGGGATCACACTGACTTGCCTACCCCCCATGAGCAGGGTACTCAGCAGAACTGGCATTGTGCCCCACAACTGCTAAGCACACAAGACCAGAGGGTCAGGATAAGGGAGACAGGAGTTTGGTGCCCTCAACCCTCTCCTCTGTCCTCATGCCCTTTTAGTTCCAGTTCCAGCTGCACCGCTCAGAGCTGCTGACCTGTGACCATATCCACCACTGATTCCAGCTCCTCGCCTTCTTGGACCTCCCGCTCCAGACAAGCAGATGGATAGGGTAGAGAGGAGTGAGGGTGCTTGGGGTCAGCACCCAGGAATAAATGCCTGCTGCTCTGTTCGTCTATTGTTTCTGATGCCACACTCTCAGTACTTGTCACTGCGCTGTGTCCCCTTCTTCTGAGAATCCTCAGAAGCTGCCAACCTGCCCTTTGGACCCTTTCAGTTTTGCTGTTCTCAAATTCAGTGGATCTGATTATGAGGTTTGACTGGAAAGCCCCACTTTCTAGATCAGGATGCTAAAGTCTGTGGAGAGTAAGTGACTTGCCCAGTGTCCCAGAGCAAGCCCTGTCTGTCCATATACTGCCTTCTCTGGAGTTGAGGAGTTTGAGAAATAAGAGACGTAGGTCTTTACTTAGAGATCTGGCTGACACCTGCCACAGTTCCCTGTGGGACTTCAGTATGCACACTGTGTTTGGGGACACCTGCCACAGTTCCCTGTAGGACCTTTGGTGTGCACACTGTGTTTGGGGACACCTGCCACAGTTCCCTGCAGGACCTTCGGTGTGCACACTGTGTTTGGGGAGAAGCTGATCTCAGTATATGGGAGCTGTTGGGAGGTGTTACTGACTGACCATCCTAGGCCCCAGAGGTCTGCCATCCTAGAATGTTCTCTGAGCTGAGTGTTGCCAGTGGGGCTTCTCCCCCCGAAGTTCTGGAGTGGTTAGCTGGCTGCAGAGACCTGGGGTGGTTTTCTCAGGTCCCTGCAGCTGGAGTGGGTCAGCCCTGCTGTGCTCTCTGCCATCTGCATTGTGACAGGGGTTCTTATGTTACCACTGGAGTGGGAGGACAGGCTGAGACTAAGCCTGGAAGGGAGCCTGGTAGAGAGTGACCGCAAAGGAACAGGACAGGTGGCCCAGCCTACCTCAGCTCTAAGACAACACATGCAGGTGTCTGACACCCAACTTCCAGCCCCTCGGCTCCCCCCACTTCTTTCTTTTGAAGGGGTCTCTCTACATAGCTTTAACTGTCCTGGAACCGTGTAGACCAGGCTGGCCTCAAACTCCCAAGTATTTTCACAACTTACTTCACTGGTAGTCGTTTGGTCTCTGCTCTAACACATATCCTCAGGGAGACCCTCCCTGTCCCCTCTGCTCCCATGGCCTCTAGAGTCCCTTCATAGCCCCCTTGGCGCTCTGACAGGAGATGCTGTCTGGGCTCATGGGTGATGGGTCTTCTGGGCTGGAGAGACGGCTCAGCTGTTAAAGGCTAGGCTCACAACCAAAACATCAAGTTTCTCTCAGTACTAGATTCAGGATTCTGTCCACCCTCTAATAGCTCCCCCTACCCCACCCCACCCCTACCCCGTTAGCCCTAGCGTAGACCCTGCACAAAGATGCCAGGCAAGGCTGTTTGGAAGGAATACCCGAGGGACACTGTTGTCTGTGTGTTTGCTCAGAGTTTATTTATTTATTTTTATGTGTATGGGTGTTTTGTTTGCATGTGTGTCCTTCAGAATCCAAAAGAGGTATCAGATTTCCTGGGACTGGAGTTACAGAAGGTTGGAAGATGCCGTGAGGGGTGCCTGGAACCAAACCCTGGTCCTCTAAGAGCAGCCACTGCTCTTAACTGCTGAGTCATCTCTCCAGTCCCTGCTCTGAGCTCTTTTCTTTTTTAACAGCAGTAATGAGAAGAGGAGAGGGGAGTGGAGAACAGGATTCAAACCATAACTGACGTGAACAGTCAGCTACGTTAACTCACTGCCTTCAGACCAGCTTGCTCAGAGCTCTTAAGGAGGCTGCATTTCTTCTTTGGGCACAAGGCTAAGTCTCTACCGCTATCTTCTGCACCTCCACTGCATTCTGGGCACCCCAAACCCGTCGACTGCCTAATTAAGGAACCGAGTTTTTAAGCATTGACAGAGGTTGGTGATGTGTGTGTGTGTGCGCACACGCGTGTGCCCGTGCCAGTGTAGTATACGTATCCGTGAATAAAGTCTGGAAGGATGATCTCTAATCATATGGCTCCTTGCGGAACAAGCAGATGCCGCTGACTTCTCATTGACTGTTTCCTTCTTTCCTGGGGGCCCTTCCGCTGATGGAGAGGCCCAGCTGCAGCTCAGATGGCATCTCAGTGTAGTGGCCCTATGGTTTAGACTGGCTTCCCCTGGGTCCCCGTGCCTTTAAGGTGGGGGTCTTCTGGCACTCCCCTCTACCTCTGTCTGGCCTTCCTGGGCTGGCCAAGGGTGGGAGAGTGAGAGGTCAGCTCCTTCCTCCCTCCCTCGGCTTCCTGGCCTTGCCTTGGGGTCTTGGCAGCCTCAGTTCCCAGCTCAGTTCCAAAGAGCACACAGGAGCCTGCCTGGCTGCCTTCCTGAAAGGAAGTGGCCCAGACAAGTAGCCGGGAGGATGGCGTGACTACAAAAGACACCGAGCCCTGCCTGGACACACACAAGTGAACGCCCAGCTGCCCAACAGCGTAGTAGGAGGACATAGACACACTCAGTACCCACTCTGCTCCCTGGAAGAGTAAGAGTCTCTGCTGCACCCAGGACCACTTCCTGCAGTCTCTGACAAAGGGTAGCAGCTCTCTCCAACCCCTCCCCCTTCTGTGACTTCACCCTACACTCAGCTCCACTCCCCTGCCAGTCCTGTTGATGGCCCTGCTTCTGTGGCCTGATGAGTGGCCTCCACCTTCACTCTAAATCCAGACTGCAATGGAGCGGGCGTTTCCTCCCCACGTCGTCCAGGCCCTGGAATATAGGGCACCGCCTACACCAGGCCTCAGCCCCTAAGGCAACGCCTCCCCAGACAGGGTTTAAGCGTGGCTCTGGCACACCAGAGCTGCATCAGTGAGAGGTTGCTCAGAAGGAAAGTCACCCCTACTTCAGGGCTGATGTGAGAACCCCTGAGGACAGCATGGTGGTACTTCCTAGGGGCAGGCGGCTGTGCACAGCCTCTCCAGTCAGAGTGTGTGGGTCTCTCTGGCCCGTCAGATCTGAGCTGCTTTCACCAATGCCTCGGGAATTTTTTTTTTCTTCTGAATAGAGGTGAATGATAAGTTTACACCCCTTGGTGCCATGTTGCGTGCTTGGTGCCATGTTACTGGCCACGGCTAGTTCAAACTGAGATGCGAACGGCTTTAACGGGTTTTGGGGTTGTAGCAGGTTAATTAAGATATGAAACTAGTTTCACCTGTTTTTGTATTTTTGTTTTTGACATGGGGTCTCATGTAACCCAGGCTTTGAACGAGATATACTGCCCAGAGGTAGATGACTTTGAGCGTCTGATCCTGTCTCCACCTCTCGTGCGATACTAGGGTTTGAACTCAGAGCATTGCGAACGCTAGAAATCTCCCTGCCGGCCGAGGTACACCTCCAGGTCATCTCTCTTCCTTCTTAAACATGGATGCTAGAAGACGAAAAAATAGATGAGAGGCCCGCAACTACTTTTTAACATTCCACACACACGCACACACACATATGCACATACTTGGTGTGTGTGGGGTATGGGATCCACAGCATGTGTGTGGAAGTTGGGAGAAAACTTGTGAGAATCCATTCTCTCTTTCCATCATAATGGTCCTGGGGATCCAACTCAGGTTGTCGGGCGTTGCAGAAAGTACCTTCACTTGCTGAGCCGTCTAACTTGCCCCACATTCTATCTTTATGGGGGCAATGATTGTTTCGTGGTTTTTCTTTGCTATTGCTGCTCACCATCAAGCTCACTGCCAAGCCCTCAAGATGGAAGTTTGCTGCATAGCACCTTGAGAATGTAGCCTCTGAGGTAGCTTCAGTTCTTCCCCCACCTCGCATCTACCTTTTTCTCTGACTTCCATCTTCAGTTGCCCTCTTTTCTGAGCCCTCCCATCATCTTAGGCAGGGAGAATCACACGTGGTCCAGCTCCCTTGGGTACCAACTCACTTCCCTCCCCACCTGACTTTGCACATTCTCTGCAAAGAGTTGAACTCTCCATGTGCACAAGGATCAACCACCCTCCCAGAAAGACTCTCTTCTGCCCAGGCCCCACCTCCTCCATGCAAATGTGCCAGCTCAGTTTGGAGCAGACACTCAAGGAGGGCACGCAGCCTCCTGCCAGCTCTGAGAAGTCTAACTGGCACTGGGACTTTGGGATACTGGTCTTCTTCCATACCCAGACCTTCCTGAGTTTTCCCAAATGTCTCCCTGCTCACCCCTAGTTCATCACCCTTCACTATTAAACTTTTAAGACATGTATGTCCTACCTTCTACAACAAGTAGGGGAGTCCTGAGGGCATAGATGCCTTTGGTTCAGGTAAGTGGAAACAGAAAGAGATGCATTCTCACCCACTCAGCCCCCCACTGCACGGGAACACTCAGAGGCTCGCATTTACTCCTTTATGTCATCACCCCGGTCTCCCTGGGATTTTAGGGGTGCCTCCCCATTCTCCTGCTTGCCCTTGGATGCTCGCAGCCATTCCTCACACTCCTCTCATGCTCCCTCACATTGAGACCTCCAAGCTCCAGCTAGAAGCCCTCAGTCATTCCCCTCCGTCCCCACGCAGCCCTGTCTGTGCAAGTCTTGGAAACAGCTAGAAACAGGGATTAAGAGTCTGAAGCAAGGAAGACAAACCCACCATTTTTAGGTTACAGCAAATCCTCCCAGGAGACAGCCAGGCTCAGGTCCCTCCCCAAAGAGACCAGGATTCCAAAACAGCAGCAAAAGTGAAAACTCAAAACGAAGCCTTTTCTCTGCCTAGATTTTTCCACTTGGATTTGTCGAAAATATCAGCCCCCCGGAGACTCATCATCCCCATAAAAACAAAAGTAAATGTGGTAGAGCCGAGCGGGAGCAGGTGCTGTGTCACCACACAGGGGACAGTGAGGGTCTTGGGAACAGGGTCTGGCATCTGTATTTAAGGCAGCTATGATGTCAGCGGAAAGGAGGGCTTGGGTTGGGCGTGTGATACAAAGATCTCTTTGTCCCCCTGCCCTCCTGTTCTGTGCACACATTGAAACGGCAAACCAGCCCACACCACGTGACAGTCACAGTGGGGTGCCGCACGCAAGGTCTGACACAAAGTGATTTGCTCATGTACACACACACACACGTATATATGTACATACACACGTATGTGCATGTAGACTCACATGTAGATTTGCGTATGCATGGTGAGAGGCATGAGTTACTCCTTTGTCTAGCGCTCCGCTGCCCATTTGTAGTTATTAAACGCCGTTGCAGTAGTAAAAGTAAGAATTGAATTCCTTCATCACATGAGCCACATTTTAACTGCTCAGCTACCTGAAGCTGCCATTTGCTCCCCTACCTGGCTAGTTTGTTCTTGCTTTCATGCTCACCCACACTTTTCCCCAGCTCTGTACTCACACCTATGTGAGGACCTCTATCTCATGGTCTTGTCTTTCCCTGGTACCTCTGGAGACTGCGCCCAGCCCTGCACAGCATCATCTGACCTCTGCCTTTTGGGAAGAATATGGTACACTAGGACCACAGGGGCATGACAATAATGTCTGGGTAAAGGACTGGCAGCGTGGGACCTCAGAGGGCTGAGGTCAGCCTATGCTTGGTAGAGAAGAGGGGAGAGGAACTATTTGAATCTGACCTTGGGGGATGAGTGGGGGAGAAGGAACATTATGGTTATTATGCCAGGAATAGGACGGGAAATAAAATGAGAAGTGGGGTATATATGTAGACATTGCAGTCATCTCTTTTGACTGATATGACAGACGTGGGCCATGGGGGGCACAATAAACTTAGACAACTGAATAGAAGTAGCCAGGTAGGGTTCGGGTGCAGAGTTCAGAATGATGGAGCCTCAAGGGATTAGAAGGAGATAGGGACTAGCCAGGAAGAGTTCCAAGACCTGAGATACAGGGTTTTTCTGGGAAGACAGGCATCACCAATCAATGGCTCTATCAGTAAATCTAATTTTGGATAATTAGTATATGAATAAACCTTCATTTATATTCCTTAACTTCTTTTTCTTCTAGATAAATTACCTTTTTGAATTGTCCTCATGTGAAGTGCAAATAATGAATTATTAAAAGTCATAATTAATAGTCATGAATACTCAGTGACAGTATTAGCGTGCCCAGTGGTTGGCTCTGTAGACTCCTCAGTCCATCCCTCTGGTAGCACAAGAGAGGGAGACTGAAAAGGAGCTTCTTCTTTTCAAATTTGGGACCTGATTCCCTGAAGGGGGAGGGGCAGCTGTCATCTGTGTCCTTATCTCGAGTTTCTGGTTCACCCCAGACGTCTGCCTTCTGGATTCTCAGTCCTCCCACTATACCTCTGCTCCTATTTCCTGAGACGAGGGGAACAACCAGTTACCATCGCTCTGGAGCCTCAGGTTCTCAGGCTGGCAGAGGGAAAAGGCAAAGGAAGGGAGGGAGAAGGAGGAAGAAGAAGCAAGTTGGTGGAGATGAAGGAAAAGGGGAGAAGGGCACAGAAGTAGGGCAGGATATTTCCACAGGCTACCCACAGTGAGCCAGTGTGCATTCTGGGCACACCGAAGGCCCCAGGGACCCTTGCACCTCCGTGGTGTGGGGTCCTGTCCTTTCCTTAACCACAACTCTCTAAGAGCCCCAGGAGAGCCCCTGAGCCCCTTGAGGGCAGGGCCACCTCCCTCTGGTGAGAGCAGGAGTGAGCCTGGAACATTCTTTCCCTCTGGTACTTCTGGCTCAGCAGGCTTCTTCTATACAGGGTTGCTTGTTTCTTTGGGCGAGAAGTAGGTAGAGACCAGCTTATCCCCCCATGTTTGACCACAGAGAAGCCTAGTAAAGAGGCTCCTGGACCTCACTACTCAGTCCCTGTCCCCTCCCCCTTGGATTCCTTTGAGAACCCATGAGCCTTCCATGGACAACCCTTCCCCAGGTCTCAAGCCTGCAGCATGGAGAAGTATGGCGTTGATGGGATAGTGGACCTGAGATATGGGTGAACTAGGAGTCGAGGTGTGTATGGGTTTGCCCGTGACCTGTGCACCCTGGATGG